AGAGGCGGGGGTTTAGAACGGCATCCACTTGACACCAAACGGCCAAAGGATTGAGGGAGCTTGCATGGCTGTCCGGCTTCCACAGATAAGGGCATCACTGGAGTCTCGTAAAACTACAGAAAGAATGCGATAAGCCGCAAGGTCGTCCGGTCCCGAGAATTAACAACGCGTCCGCCTCTACGGGGTCGTCCCACCTTCCGAAACGTTTTTCGCAGCAGCAGCAGCAGCAGCAGCAGCAGCAGGGATCATGCTGAAGGCAGTAATGCTGAAAGCACAGCTTCAACCCTCCTGTTCGGCTCTGCCTTCAGGGATCCGTTCCCCAACTTCTTCTGGAGCCCTAAAATGACACCCCAAAGCCCAAATGCAAAACCTAAGAACCCTGATGCCCGCGGCTCAAACATTCTTTCAGGGATTCGATGTTGAACACAATGTGGAAGAGCCCCAACCCTAAATTCTTCAAAATCTCTGGACAATGTAAATTAACACCAGAAGACCCAAACAGGAAAAGCCACGATTGAAACAAACTCCGGTCTGCAAAAAGACCCCCACAGCCTACCCTTCAGTTTTGTCCGAAACTCGGAAAGACCAATCGCAGAAATCATAAACCTTTATCTTCATACTTCTAAAGTCCACTGCTCATCCAAAGAGCTAGATGCAGGAGCTGCCTCCTGGACAGAAAAAAATGCAAAAAGTTCCTGAGGATTGAGTTTAGCGCTCTGCGTTGAGAGAAGGTAGTGTGTGGAATACGTGTGGTCCAGGCTGTCGCTTTCTTGATGGATTGGGGACTGCGAAGTGTAGGAAGTGCATTGTAGTTGCCTGACGTCACGACCACCGCCGCTGACTTCATAGACAGAGAACCTTTTGGATGTCCTACACATGTGGGGTGGTCCAAAACACAGACTCCGACTCAAGGAGACAACTGCAAATCCCATGAGATGGAAAGCTGGCTGCATGAGGGTTCAATTGTACTTGCCTGACCTTACTGCCAGACTTCCATGCAGTCCGAGAGTGTCCTGCTGCCACCACCACGGAGACTCCTCAGCTCACTTGCGAAACAGAGAAGAAGCCTTCCGCACTTATGCTTCTGCTCTTTCCTTGGGAAGTTTTTTACATAAAATGTTGCTTCCAAAGGCCAGCATCTTGCATCCTGGTTGCTGGTGGTACCACTGTAACTGGCGCTGATGGGGCTGCTTGGGTTGCTGCGGCTGCTGGTGCTGGGGGTGCTGCTGGAGGTGCGGGTGGTGGGAGCGCTGGAGGTGCGGGGATTGCGTGGATTGGGGGAGAGATTGTTGCAGCTGCGTGGACTGGAGGTGGAAGTGCTGGTGCTGGAGGTACGCTGCCCGAAGCTACGGCACCGGCTGCGTCCGCGTATGCCTGCACAGGCAGGGCTCTAGCTGCAATCATGTAGGGAAGTACACAAATATGACAGACGTGCTCAACTGCGCGTGCAGTTTGCTTCCATCACAAGTCACAAGCCTGGTGGTCTCTGACCCCCGCAGTCAGCCCAAACATGCGTTCCAGGCTCGCCTCACTTCTCCAAGGCACTGCAAACAATGGTGGAGCAGCAGCCACCGATGCGTCCGTACATGCCTGTCAAAGTAACAACGATTTATCGAATTAGTGCCGGCGAAGACCCCAAACGGCATGGATGGAAAAAACATGCGAATGAATGTTATAGTTGGCGTTCAAAGGTTATCCGATTCGAAAGCGAGGAAAACAAAGAAGCAACAATTCAATAAAACGCAAGATTCGCAAGCGCAGCCGTGGAAGAGTTGTGACTTTTTTCCCGAAAGCATCGCGAAGGGTTCCTCGTCCAAAAACGGTAGCCTTGCACACAACACAGCACCTACACCGCTCACATAAACCACGCCACAGTCTACGCAGCACTTACACCGCTTGCACGCACCACAATATCTACACCGCTAACATACACCGCGCCACAGTCTATACTTGCACCACAGCACCTACACCGCTGATATCCACCGCGCTACAGCCTATATCTACACCACCACCACGCACGTACATCGCTAACATACACCACGCCACAGTCTACACGGCACCTACACCGCTCGCAAACATCCTACACCCCTCACTCACGCCTTCTATTTTCTGTTATTTCTAGAGCCGGTGTAGGTTTGGCACATCTAGGCGAGATGATGATGATGATGATGATGGTGATGATGATTGTGAATCCGCTTCAGGTGTG